AACACATTTCATATAGTTTATGATTGTTATCAAATTCCTGTGTTTGATTATTGCTCGATCTGTTTATCCTCGGTTTGTGCGCTCGATATACCAACGGTTGTTGTTCAGACTCCTTTTCAGAAGGTGCAGTCTGGTTGTCGGGTATTCAATGTAGTAAAAAAAATGATTTCTTGTGATTGGTTGCTAAATCTGTTGTAGGCTGCACTGTTGTATATTTGACGCTTACACTAGATATTCATATTTTCCAGCGCATAGAAAACAGTCCCAAACAGGCTGGCAAGGCAGAAAATATCCAATTTACATTGCACACATGCCGAGTCATATTATTTAGGCCTTCGTTTAATCGTTTGTTCTTCTATTTTAGCTGAACCTCTGCTAATAAGAGGACATTTATAAACTCTACTTTAACTTGCTCAACTTAACTCTACTTACTACTTTAACTTGCTTCTAATTTTAATGTTGGAGAGTATTAGAATATTTTAGGTTAAAACACGTCCAACTAACTGTTAACTGAAGGCGCTTGGATGTAAATTGTGACAAAATCATATAAGTTTGAGCTTTTAAAAAAATAAAAATGCGGATTCTACTGGCTTTCATGTAGGTACATCCTAAAACTCCTATTTGTAGTGCGATTGTTTTAAAATCATATTCTAAAATATGTTAACGTGACTATAAATCTGAGTCATATAAGAAAACGAATCTCACAAATCAAATAAACCCTTTTGGGGTTTAGTACAAAATATAGAACGCCGTTAACAATATAAAGAGGAAAATATAGGATACCTGTAAAGAGGAAAAATGTCTGTCCATTACATACTTCTACGAACATTTGTTTCTGTAGTTCTTTGCGTTGTGTTGTGTTGTTCTGGTATCTTGATGCCACGAAAATATAATGTCAATGTAACTTACGGGTTATCTTCTGATAGTCGCATTTTATACTTCAGCTTGGTTCTAATTTTGATGCTTGATTCAAATTATAGTATAATTTTAAGTCAAATCACGTCCAAATATTAACTGAGGACAGCGAAACTATCCCAATATGGTATGTTAATTTTGCAATAATTTTGTCTGTCTTGAATAGAGTTTTTTACCAAATGTTCATATTACTATCGTGTATTATTTACTAGTTTTATTTTATCAATGCTTGAAATGAGTGTTTTACCTTCTGCTTAAAACAAACATCAATGTCGTTATACATGCAGCCAGTGCTGGTCAAAACTAATATAAAAGGCTTTCGGTAAAAGGTATTGGGTATCGATAATATCGGCAATTTTTTGGTATCAGTATTCGTATCGATATCGGCTAAATGTATACTGATATTTTCAAGATAATTAAACTTTTAATCTATTCCTGAATGTTTTACAAAGTAGGTTGAAATACTGATATTGAAATTATTTTTTGCTTGGAGTGATCGTGTTCGCGGTATTAGCCTCGTCGGAGCAATGCTGTTTCCCAACCGCGCGAATAGAAACGGGAATATGATTATGACCTGATTTAAGCCATTTATCAGCCCAACTAGCTCTACTAATTTGGCTATTATTGCAACCTATTTTTTATATTGACAATTTTAACATTACATGGAAATTATGAAGAAATATATCGAATGTGAATTTTTCGATGTGCAAAATACAAAATACGACGTTATAATGGCATAAAATTCTGCGCACGCAACTCGATTTATCAGTTGGATAGAATGAGTGAACATTTGTTTATTTTACCACCTACAGTAGCCAAACCCTATGAGTTTTCTAACCGATAAAATTAACATCAGTGTGCAATATATTTAAATAAAAAAACGTATTAGGATCCAAAACATTAATTTCTTTTTATCTGAAATAGGTCTTTTTCAAATCTGAAAAATTGTGTGGCATGAATAAATCTTGCAAACTGTTACTTTAACTTGTTTCGACTGTACACCTGGGATAATAATTACATAGCATGTAAATGTAGGCAATTTCTGCTTTAAAATATTAATATCGTCGTTTTATCGTTGTTGTCGAATTGGTATCGGCGACAAAAGGTATCGGTACATCTCTTAGTTGGAATCTCTAGTATAATGTAATGAACGTCAATGTAATGTTTAAAATAGATATATACTCTTTTTCTGCAAACTTAAAAAACTCGTATGATATCAAATATCAAATATCATATCAAATCCCTCGAAATTGTAAGATTTATATTTTCACAAGTTTTAATAATTGTCCTTCGAATCAAAAGTCCAAAAGAGTAAGACCCACATTCACGTTTAAAATGCTAAATAGTTCGATGCGAGTCAACATTGTTACGCTGCCTATTTGATCCTGTGCATTCTATCAAAATTGTAAGATTTAGATTTTGTAAAAGTTTTAATATTTGTGTTTTGGAGCAGAAGTCCGAAAAAGTACCATAAATATAGTACCTTGTATCAAATTGGTGTACTCTTTGCGATCCCCAAAATCCGTTGCTCGTTTCTCTGCTGGATATAGCGATCCCCAGTTTGCGATCCCTACCGTGAACAATGTGATAATTCTACAAGTTACTGATCAGAGGCAATTAGTCATATACTCCATGGAATAGTTATAAAACTTCATTGAGTATCTTACTGTTATTGTAATATTTGCAACTTGTTCAGTTTGAAAACTACATCTGATATGTTATAAAATATTAGGATGAATTTATGAAATTGAATGATTACATATATATACCTGTAACGTAGAGTCTATGAAAAAGCAATTTCTATGGTAATCTATAATTTTTGAAATTTAATGGCAATCGCTGAATAAATTTTATTCGTCTAAATTTTTTTAGTTTTGTGTATTTTAGAAAAAAAATCGGAGAAAAGTTTGGCTTTCATGAGATAAAAAGTCGAAATTTACCCGTTACTTATTTTATTGAAACTAACGTATATTTTTTGCTTTGCAGAGTCTCTGTCAAATAGCATTTGTGTGAATTAACTACCTGAAAATGACAAAGTTGGCGCAACGAAATTTAGTTTAATTTAAATTTTGAATTGGCTTACACAAAATCATAACATATTTATATTGATTTTCAGCTTTTTAAAACACTGCTTGAAAGTTGACAGGACAATTTATCAATGTACTAGAAGAAATTCGTCAAGTGCCAGCTTTTCATCACTGAGTGAGATGGAGGCCTATCAAGTCTGAAGATCAAGTATGTAATCAAATCATTTGAAATCTTTTCAATTTAGATGTCTATAAATAAATGATAAATTGTATTTTTTTTTCGGGAAATCTACAGACAAATTATTACTTTTAATATATTGAGTATAAGCTCAGTTTTGGTTTGTCTGTCAAATGAAATTTTCTAAAAATTACAGTTTCAAAATGTGTCCCAACTAAAATTTCCAAAAACGATACTGTATAAATTATATTCAACCAAGTGTAAATTTTTTGGTTCTTATCCCCTTGGTAAAAGTCCTGAGTTATCATACCATCCATGTTCATAACTATAAAAATAGAGACATAAAGATATGTGTCATATTTTCCCTATTGTCAGTGCGGGACACGTCATGTTATGTCAATCACGTGTATTAAGGAGAGCTTAATTAATATAAACTCTCCTCTATAATCTCTACTGAATGGTCTCTTTCATACGGCACTCACCGTCAATATAAGATAAGAGTAGCTTGAAAACTCTAGAATTCTTACTTTTTTAATTAGATATTAGGAACTTGGGTGTCGCTGCTCGATAAACAGTTTGCTTCCCCGCGACGTCCCTTCCCCAGTAGAACTGTGTAAATTTTTTTTGTTCTGTATTTTATGATTGTGATACATTTTACTGGTTGGAAAAAATAAACTTGACTTGACTTAATTTAATCGTGTATCTTACCCCTTTTGGTACTAGTTAACCATGACATTCGTATTCACATGTGTTTCGAACTGAAATGGCATTAAGTTTCCAATAACGATATTATATGAGTGAGTAGAATCAAGTGCATCAATATGCATCAATATAACCGGGAATCGTACACCTTTTAGTACTGGTTGACAATGTGATTTGTGTCCCAAACTAAAATTTCCAAGGTTACTATATACATGAGATCCCACCTATTGTAAATCTACTATAGTCAGCCTATATCCATCCCTATTGCTAGTAGCCTTAGTAATCATACCGTCCCATGTTCATAAGTGTTCGAATCTGGAAATATATTCCTTATTTCTCTATAGTTTGTTCCCTAGTTATGATCTATCATGTTCTTATATATATATATATAATGTCCACAATGTCTGTGGCTGAAGTTATTTATAGACGTATATTTTCAGGAAGTCGCTGGGAAGGAAAGACTATAGAACACTTGAAGGTAAACTAGTTAAGATTTAGATAATGAGATACAACATAGCATACTGACAGATTCATTCCGAATAAATAATATTTTATAATGTTGAAATCATGCATGCAAATAATTTAAGAATGAACGTAATTGAATATCAGTACAAGTTTGTGGTCTTTGTATCTTTAGAATAAGCACAGCTTATCACAAGGGCGTGGGCAATTTTTTGAGGGGCGTAAAGGTAATTAGAAACAGAAAACATTTGTTAAATTTTATCTTTTCCGCCTTATTTTTCGATATTTTTCATTTCTTAAATATGTAGCCGTATTTTCAACGTGCTTTCCAATGAATTATAATATGTTAGCTATATGATGTGTTGCAATATTATACCCTGACAGATCATTCCAAAGTAATGTTTGTAAATTAGGAGGAAATCTGTGAATAATTTGTGAATGAACTGAAAATTAATATTTTTATTTTATGTATTCAAAGTATACAGCATAGTTTCTCTGTGCTCCTTGTCAAATTACATTTTTCCGTAACTTATAAACTTTAAAACCTAATAATGAATAGTTCGAACAACTATGTTAATCTAAATCAATATTATACAAAATGTACCTACATTTCATTATCTCGCATAAATTTCAGCTTTTCCGAAACTCTTCTTGAAAGCGGAAAAGACAGTTTATCATTACATAAAAGACACGCGGAGATATTTGTCAGATTATGCCACCACTGAGAGAGGTGGATGCATCGAGTCTAAAGAGCAAGTAATGTTATTAAAATCTTTTGAATCTTTCTAATTTTACATTCATCACAAACAAGTTTAGAATACTATATTATAAAAATCAGTCGTGAGAGATAAAGAATAAAGAGGTGAATCCGCAATCCCAATTTCTTGATTGAAAAGCTGCATTATAAAATAATAAAACTAAAATCTAAAACGAAAGATATCACCATAGGTTTTGTTTTAGCAGTCTCGCAGCAGATTGAAAACGCTTTTCAGACATTGTAAAGCACAAAATTTGGTGTTATGTTAAGATTTCTTCAAAATTAATACCAGAATAGTAACTAAAAATTTTTTTTGCAAGAATTTAAATTACAATCGTTCGTATTTTGTCCATATCTTGGGATATTTCAAACGGTGAAACTTTAAAAAGAATCAGAGTGACAGGCCTTCGGCGGGGCGGAATCGGTGTTGTTACACGTGGTTTCATTGTTCTCCATTTCATGTCAAAAATTCGGGAAAATTAATTTCAGAGAGAACTAAACAGATTTCAGTAGTGTCATAATGGTTTCGCATGTAGCGCCGACCGAATGCATGAGGTGTGAAACTATTACTTGGAACTTATTGTTGTGAAGTTAAACTTTTATTTTCATTCAATTATTATTTACTTGCGTCGTAATCAGTGGCGGGCAAAATCGTATTTTTGAATCGAGTTAATCGAATATTTTTAACGAACACCGAATAATCAGCATTTTAAACGACATTAATTGGGATGTTGGCCACCGACAATTTTTTTTTTCGAATTTTACTAGAAGACTGAAAACTCGTAACAGTGCGGCGTTTTTTATTTCATAATTTTGTCGTAATCGAAGGCCTCAGTTAAATATTCGTCACCGCGATCGTTTTGGCGGCCGACATTCTAATTTATTTTGTTAGACTATATCAAAGCACTTTTTTATTCACTAGTAGATATTAATTATCACGGTGGATATCGTAGTTTTTATATTTCGGACATGATTGTGAGTTCACATCGACAAAGAGGGGCAACAAGTGCATTCGCAACACAAATAAATTTTATTATGATTTCTATCTTCTGTGTAGGATTTCTATCACAGTTTGTAAATTACGGTCCAATTTTAGGCGAACAATACCATCATTATTCCGGGGTGCGATATTTGTGAAGCGAATAGTTGGACATTTCTATGCGTTTAATTTTAGATCGTGTCGGTGTTACTTTTGTGTTAAATAATTTCTAAATTGGTAATCACTACAATACTGTTGAATGTTCACGTAACTCAACTTTGTTAAAACACTTTTTTATTGATACTAACCACATGAATAAATCGGCAATAATGGCATTTCTACGTGGTCAAAATAATATTGTTTATGTATTTTTAATATAAGCTTACCTTTGCTTTACCTCTGTTAATAAGCATTTTTTTGTGATTTGTAACTCCAAAACTTGATAATGAAACTATTATTATTTTCAGTTTTCTAAGTCACTGCTTGAAAGAGTCATTGCATCAAACGGACATTGTTATTAGTCTGGTGCCTCACGGAGTGAGATGGAAGCCTATATAGTGTAAAGAGTAAAGAGCAAGTATGAAATCTTATAAATCTTTCAATTCATATTTTGTCAGGTATAAACTGATATATCATGTTAAATCCCGCTAGTCAGGAAGAACTGCAAATATTTGAATTATCCTCACAAGATGTCCATAATATTCCGCCCAATTTTATTTATATAATTTCGTAAAGTCATATAATGCAATGGTTTCCACCCGCTAGTTCACGGAAGGTGTGCAGTTTTTAGCTGGTATGCAATAAATGTTTCTGCTTTGTTAATTTCGTATGCACAATTCCCGAAAAGACGCGGGTTATGTTTCTTTTCGGCGTTCTCCCATCGTTTGACAAGTATCGAAGTATGCGGCAGTCCGCCAGCAATGGGGTTATAATACTGGTAATGGGGCAATTGCGGCTGCATTAATACAATTGTCGGGCCTCATTTTATAGTATTTATTGTATTCGTACTTTATGGGTTTATTTCGTTGCCATAGCGTTTTGTTAGTTTTTCAATAGTCTAGAAGAGTAGTTTTTAACCAGGGTTCAATCGACTTTTTGTTTTTTGTTGGGGTAACAGGGGTTCGACGAGGTTCCTTTAAATTAAAACAGTTTTCTATTATGGGAATTTCTATCACATCGTCTACTAATTATGCAAATTTAACTACAGTTCATCTCAGATATTTAAACTTACACGTTCAACAACTTATAAATTAGCGTTGCTGTTTGTATAGCGTTGCGCAGTTGTAAGTTTGTAAGTTTTAGTGAACCCGTCATCTCCACGGATGTCGCGCGCTTTGGTGTTTGTGCTTATATGATAGTGCCCTTTGATGCTTTCTGCTTATGACTTTGAAACATCTTCGATTGCTATGGCAAACCAAGGATTTTCAACCTGAATCTTTTCATTTTCTATAACCTTGCACGAAATTATGCTTCCCCTTTATAAAGTCTTAATTGGGCTCCTAATTTCAACCATCTGGTACAATGGGGTTTGGCGGGAGCTTTCAGGATAGCGCAGGGGTTCGACAGGCTCGGAATGGTTAGGGTTTAGAATTTGGAAAATCTACGGTGTATTATTTTATTTGATGTTGCCATATCGCTAGAGCAGACAGGTACGAATAGATTTGTTTAAATATATATCCAATTCATATCTAATTTATCAAATTACATTTTCGGTCATTCATAAACCCAAAACTTGACATAGTTCATATAGTTCACATAATGTCATAGTTCGAAAAATTATTGGTACATTCAAATTTTAACCCCCAAGCCGAAATTAGATCGAAATAATTAAATATTTTTCTGAAATCAATCATTTTTTGTAAAATTTACCATCTTCGAATACCACATTGTGCCACGCAAGTTTTTGTTGAATTAACTTTTTGGACACGTCAGTGTACATAACGATCGTTTCAATATTATGTTGTTGTTCTTGTTAGTATTCTTCTCTTTCGTCATGATGAAATCGCTTTCTTTTCGAATACTGGACCAATTGCTTTGAAATTTTCAGTGGTTAAAGATTGATTTTTTTGCCAGAAGGCTATTACTTTTACTTATTTCAAAAATTTCTGTGGACTTCAAGATATTCGCGTTTTTTGTGGGTCAGAATAAAAAATAGCGACACCTTGTGACGTGTCCATATATTTGAGCACAGCTCTCTCGTTAAGCGAGATTGAATCTGCTCCAGATTTTGCATGTGCATTCATCATATGGCGTACCAGAAGCCTATTGATTTTGAATGAATTATGTCGTATAATTAGCGAGTTATTAATTAATTAGTGATGAGACACAAGGCGTCACTATGGAGTAAGAGCGCTGTTTTGGGGGATCCCCTAACTTTCGATCGATAAGTCTTCGGTCTCTGACCGATATTCTCGTTTATATTAGTCCTCGATTTAATGGAATATTCAAATATTTACCCGCTAGATCGGAAAAGTTCGGAATAATTCAATATTTTTGAAAAAACTTATAGTGCAATATACCAATTATCTAAGTATATTACCACAGTTGTGACTGTTTCGTTGAAAATGAGAGATTTGATTTGAAATTAATGCTTCCATTGAATTAAATTTAAATCCGTCGTTAACTTAAAGCTTTAAAATAACAAATTAGTTGTTGTCCAGCTTGGTTTAGGTTTCGGGTTAGGAGAAATTAAAACATTTGAAATCTGCATTCGGGGTTGTTTTTTGAAATAAATGCTTTCGTTAAATTAATTGAATTGAATGTCCGACCCAAATTTGTGTTTGGTAAATTTTTATTTAAATCCAAAAATTCTGGTAAATAATAATTCATTTCTAAGTCATTGTCGCGTGAATGTCTTAGCCCCAAAACAATACATTTGTGAATGCTAAATGATGTGAATTGTTTTTTACTTTGAGAAAAACAGTAAAGATGCAAAGTAAGAATGTTAAGCTAAATATTGGGGAAATGAAGAAAACGTATTAACAAAAAAGCGGTGGACGTGTCCACGAATTTAAGAAAAAAATGAAATGGTCACTTCTAATTCTCCGATGAAGCGTAATAAATTGGTAGATTCGAAAGCACGCAACATGAGGACTTTTTATTAAATTTTCAGAATTTTCTGATTTTGTCGCAACGACACTGATCAGTTTGTTCTTCATTAGGGATTGCGAATACTTTAGAATAGTTCTGTTTTATTAGCTGAATTGTTATTTATCCGACGCTGACACTGAATATTCATAGTTTCTAATATGTGTGTTGAAATGGTTTATTTTTGAACGAAAAGTTAAAATGTTTTAAGCAAGCTGACAAGCTAGAAAAATCTTAGTTACACTGCACGCATGCCAGGTCATATTTATTAATCCCTCGCTCAATCGTATGTTTTTCCGGAGTTCCTAACATTTCAAATTTTTCATTTTGTCAAGGCTAGTTTTTTATTTCACATTTTGGTTTGACTCTGTACAACACATTTCATATAGTTTATGATTGTTATCAAATTCCTGTGTTTGATTATTGCTCGATCTGTTTATCCTCGGTTTGTGCGCTCGATATACCAACGGTTGTTGTTCAGACTCCTTTTCAGAAGGTGCAGTCTGGCTGTCGGGTATTCAATGTAGTAAAAAAAATGATTTCTTGTGATTGGTTGCTAAATCTGTTGTAGGCTGCACTGTTGTATATTTGACGCTTACACTGGATATTCATATTTTTCAGCGCATAGAAAACAGTCCCAAACAGGCTGGCAAGGCAGAAAATATCCAATTTACATTGCACACATGCCGAGTCATATTATTTAACACTTTCGATGCCAAGGACGTATATATACGTCATTTGGCGCCAACCGTTCCGTGCCATCAATGCAAAATGACGTATATATACGTCATTCGAAAAGGAAAAAGTTTAATAGATAGAAGAAGGTCGAGTTCAGGTATTTGCCGTCTTTTTTTCTTCTCTCTCTCTCTCTTGTTGTCAAGTTGGGGGGAAAGAATGACGTCGTCAGCCAATCGCGTCATTCAAGAAATACCAAGATGGAAGGAGGGTCTGCCATGAAGTAAATTATCAACTTATTTAGCATGGCCGAGGTACATATTAGCCGCAAATTATCATCAAAAAATTTGTACGAGACCGACTGACGCCAACACACGGTTTCAACTTTTTACGGTGAAATGATTGAAAGGTGTGAGGAGAGATGATAATATTATCAATCATGTTACGAAGATGTAGAAAAACATTACTAAACCGGGAAATAATTCGAATATTTTTATATGCATGATCGTCGTCTTATTGGCAGGACGATGAAATGATTCAAAATGTTGGTATTTTTGAACGTTTTTTTAATTTTTTATCATTTTTGGGTAACGGATTGACGGACATCTGCAACGAAAGCAAATTTTATCGTCCTGAGAGGTGAAATGTTACATTTTGAAATAATAAAGTGAGAAATTGATATTATTCGGAACATATATTTTTCTACTTGTCAGTGAGATATGATCCATGATATAGTAATTTAGTGGGAATATATTACCAATAACACAGAGCCCCTCGTATGCTTTCAGCTCATATTGAATTACTTCCGTAGCTATTGCATAACCATAATTATAGCAAAATATACAATCCTACGACTTTGTGTCGGATGAACAAGTTCAATAAGCAGCCATGGCGTACTGATTACGTAGCTACGCAATAGCGATCACGTGTCTGGCGCCACGAAGACGGGACTACGTGCAGTCGAGAAGACTTGCGTAGCAAATTGCGTGAGAATTTCGGAAAATCGTGTTCTTGACAGATCAACTGACGAATTTCGATGAAGCTTTAAACCTTTTTATTATGTCAACTTAGAGACACCGGATGCGTATAATGAATATTTAAATTGCATTTGGAAATACTTCATTTGCACGCCAATATTAGTTCAAATATCCACACAAATAAGTATTTGCTCGCTATAAATACCAGATTGAATGAAATGTTTGCCGAGGCAAGTAAAGACTTCGAATTTCATCGTTTACTGACTGAACCCACCAAATCTGGAAGCGCCCGACGAAAACTCAGGAGCAATACTAAGATACAAACGCACCTGAAATGTATTACGCATGTTTCGGTATTATCCGACACATCAGTCGTAGGTGAAAGAACTCACCTACACATGCGTATCTTGTCGGAATTGCTCTCTCATGCTATTATAACATAAGTTGGAGATAACTTGTCTTGATCTCTCATTGCGATAAAGATTTAATTCGAACATTTTATTCAGCAATCAGAATCATTCTATTATACGAAAATATCAAATTCGAACAAAGAAAACAAAATCGTTTACTAGCATACATAATATATCCTTCATTCGCTATATATTCCAATAACATTAATAATGGCCAATTATTGTCACTCACAAGGATAACATATTGCAAAATAAACAAAGTAGTCACATTGCATATTCATACAACTGTAACACATATGTACTTGAAATATACGAACATAGTAAATTTATTATCGAGCTTCCATATCGGAATTCATTATAAAAAATTAATGTGCAGTATGGTGGTGCATAAAATAATACATCAATCGAGGAATTTGTCAAAAACGCTATGGAATCACAGACGTAGTCAATATGTTGCCTCATTCGAATTATGGTTTGGTGAAGTTAGCGTCTACCATGCACTAAACTATCAACATATCTAGCTTGGCCGATGAATCGCAAATAGAAATATAAAAAATATGTGCGGAGTCCGATTGGCGCCAACGCACCTGGATTTTAACTTTGCTACAGTTACAGTTGTATGAATATGCAATGTGACTACTTTGTTTATTTTGCAATATGTTATCCTTGTGAGTGACAATAATTGGCCATTATTAATGTTATTGGAATATATAGCGAATGAAGGATATATTTTTATGCTAGTAAACGATTTTGTTTTCTTTGTTCAAATTTGATATTTTCGTATAATAAAATGATTCTGATTGCTGAATAAAATGTTCGAATCAACTTATGTTATAATAGCATGAGAGAGCAATTCCGACAAGATACGCGTGTGTAGGTGAGTTCTTTCACCTACGACTGAAGTGTCGGAATGAACGATAACTGATGACACCGCTGGGTTCGCCCCTTTCCCGATGAATCAAAAACTAAATACGAGAGAGAATGAATAGGAGAGAACTCTCTCGTTTTCACCTTGGCACGGAACGGTAAAATTGAAAAAACTGATCTTGGCATCGAAAGTGTTAAGCCTTCGTTTAATCGTTTGTTCTTCTATTTTAGCTGAACCTCTGCTAATAAGTGGACATTTATAAACTCTACTTTAACTTGCTTAACTTAACTCTACTTACTACTTTAACTTGCTTCTAATTTTAATGTTGGAGAGTATTAGAATATTTAAGGTTAAAACACGTCCAACTAACTGTTAACTGAAGGCGCTTGGATGTAATTGTGACAAAATCATATCAGTTTGAGCTTTTAAAAAAATAAAAATGTGGGTTCTACTGGCTTTCATGTAGGTACATCCTAAAACTCCTATTTGTAGTGCGATTGTTTTAAAATCATATTCTAAAATATGTTAACGTGACTATAAATCTAAGTCATATAGGAAAACGAATCTCTCAAATCAAATAAACCCTCTTTGGGTTTAGTACAAAATATAGAACGCCGTTAACAATATAAAGAGGAAAATATGGGATACCTGTAAAGAGGAAAAATGTCTGTCCATTACATACTTCTACGAACATTGGTTTCTGTAGTTCTTTGCGTTGTGTTGTGTTGTTCTGGTATCTTGATGCCACGAAAATATATTGTCATTGTAACCTACGGGTTATCTTCTGATAGTCGCATTTTATACTTCAGCTTGGTTCTAATTTTGATGCTTGATTCACATTAGAATAATTTTAAGTCGAATCACGTCCAAATATTACCTAAAGACAGCTAATCTAACCCAATATAATATGTTCATTTTGCAATAATTTTGGCTGTCTTGAATTGTGATTTTTTTACCAAATTTTCGTATTACTATCGTGTATTATTTACTAGTTTTATTTTATCATTAATTGCGGTATATTGACTTTTCATTTATTTCAATTTCGGTTCGGAATGCTTGAAATGAGTGTTTTACTTTCTGCTTAAAACAAACATCAATGTCGTTACACATGCAGCAAGTGCTGGTCAAACCTATTATAAAAGGCTTTCGGTAAAAGTTATTGGGTATCGGTAATATCGGCAATTTTTTGGTATCGGTATTCGTATTGATATCGGCTAAATGTAGACTGATATTTCCTTGATAATTAAACTTTTAATCTATTTCTGAATGTTTTACAAAGTAGGTTGAAATACTGATATTGAAATTATTTTTTGCTTGTGTTCGTTTGTGATCGTGTGTGATCGTGTTCGCGGTATTATCCTCGTTAGGTAGGAGCAATGCTGTTTCCAAACCGCGCGAATAGAAACGGGAATATGATTATGACCTGATTTAAGCCATTTATCAGCCCAACTAGCTCTACTAATTTGGCTATTATTGCAACCTTTTTTTTATATTGACAATTTTGACATTACATGGAAATTATGAAGAAATATATCGAATGTGAATTTTTCGATGTGCAAAATACAAAATACGACGTTATAATGGCATAAAATTCTGCGCACGCAACTCGATTTATCAGTTGGATAGAATGAGTGAACATTTGTTTATTTTACCACCTACAGTAGCCAAACCCGATGAGTTTTCTAACCGAACACCGATAAAATTAACATCAGTGTGCAATATATTTAAATAAAAACGTATCAGGATCCAAAACATTAATTTCTTTTTATCTGAAATATGTCTTTTTCAAATCTAAAAAATTGTGTGGCATGAATAAATCTTGCAAACTGTTACTTTAACTTGTTTCGACTGCACACCTGGGATAAGAATTACATAGCATGTAAATGTAGGCAATTTCTGCTTTAAAATTTTAATATCGTCGTTTTATCGTTGTTGTCGAATTGGTATCGGCGACAAAAGGTATCGGTACATCTCTTAGTTGGAATCACTAGTATAATGTAATGGACGTTAATGTAATGTCTAAAATAGATATATACTCTTTTACTGCAAACCTAAAAAACTCGTATGATATCAAATAGCATCTTTTTTAAGCCATCTCAAGCATGTAATAGTATATTACACATACCTACTACTAAGATTTATTTCCTGAGCAACAGACAAAGTTTAATTGTTTTCTTCCGTATATATATATATTTGACCCGGGGTATTTCGAAAGTTATCGGGCATTGTACTTTTGGTGAATGATCGCTCATAGACTTCTCTCTTTAAGGCAATTTCATCTTCTGTTTGCGGGGAGAAAAGAGGCATGTTGACTTCAACAAAATCTTGTATCAGTCTTCTCATATTCTTGTTTGTTTAATATTATTTCGGATCATTGCAAGTCGGCTATATAAAAGGTAATTCGCATTAGAAGTTTGTCGTTTAAGTAGTATTAATTTAATTGCTGTAACTATCGGATTGTTTGCTTGTTCATCTTGCAATTTCATCTTCTGTTCGCGGGGAGAAAAGAGGCATGTTGACTTCAACAAAATCTTGTATCAGTCGGCTATATAAAAGGTAATTCGCATTAGAAGTTTGTCGTTTAAGTAGTGTTAATTTAATTGCTGTAACTATCGGATTGTTTGCTTGTTCATCTTGCAATTTCATCTTCTGTTCGCGGGGAGAAAAGAGGCATGTTGACTTCAACAAAATCTTGTATCAGTCTTCTCATATTCTTGTTTGTTTAATATTATTTCGGATCATTGCAAGTCGGCTATAAAAAGGTAATTCGCATTAGAAGTTTGTCGTTCAAGTAGTGTTAATTTAATTGCCGTAATAATCGGATTGTTTGCTTGTTTTTTATTTTGGGTAAATGATAGGGTTTATTCATATTGCATAAATTAAAGTTGCTATTGCTTGCATCTTTTGGAATTAAGTATGTTGTCGACATACTTAGGTTGGTCGTAAACTTTAGCAACCCAATACATTATGACCAAGTATGACAGATGTCCCAATATATTGACATATGTGAATAGTAGGGTTAATAGTTTTGGCTTCTACATTATGCGTTTCGACCTCTACAATAACCATTTTTATCAGCACACTTTTTGACGTTTTTCATCACATATTATTCGTTTCTCGTACTTTGTTCATGTAGACTGGATATTTCATTGCCAGTAATAGACTTCAATCATATTCAAAGATGTGGAGTTGTTAATATCGAGAAAACTGGCAGGTTATAAGTCCAAGGAAGTCGCACAGCGTCATCGCCCAACACGTTATAGGTGTCTTGTAGAGACTCATCATACGTAAAAGGTTGATCATTATTTACTTCCTCTACTATAAAAGTGCATAATAACTAAATGTATATATATTTTTACAGGATTCTTCAATTATGGAACTTGAAAAATCTTTCTGAGTTTCAAAAGAAAATACAACTCAATTATTTGAATATGAAGAAAAGTTTTATTAAAGATAACTAAGATGTGCTAGCCAACAAATGCATCGAGGGCACACACAAGACTTCTATATAAAAAATAGACTGTTGTTTGAGACTGTATTCCATTGCCATACCTACTTTAAGCTCGTATGTATGTGCACTGATTACTAATATGTGATCCCAAACAAATGCATTGGGCAGCACATACACATGTCTTTTATATCAAATACGACTGTTGTTTGAAACTATACCAAAATGTCATACACACTGTAAAAGGATTATATGCGGAAGTTTGACATGGGTCGACCCGTGAGGAACTAACTATTTATGTAATTTGAATAACTGCAAACGGATTCTTCTCTTTATTAATGAATTGAATCATAGCTCAGAAAACTAAAATACAATTGTTATTTGTATTTTAACACCCTGCAATGCAATCCTGTATTTGATGTACTGGTATGATAAGTTTAAAATGATTCTTTCATTCTACGTTATTCTTATATTTTTATTACTGTTATTGAACATGACTGATTAATTACTGATATTGTATATTTTTTAATAGGCTTTTTTCGTAATATGCTGTTTCCATATTTAGCTATCTTATTTGTCATGTTCATTATATTCTATTGTAGTTTTGGAGAAATTTTCAACAGGAAAACAAGATATCGTGACAACGACAAAGGAAGAAAAGTATTAACAGAGCTTGTCATCTATAGTGTTCATTTTGACTTTAGTCGATATAATATTTTTCTGAATATATTAATACTGATACAATAATGCACGAAGTATTATGTTTATTGCTGATATTCAATATTTATTAATAAAGTTTTTTTATTGATATTCTGTATCCATATTTTCCTATCTGTGTTTGTCATATTCATTATTTTCTCTTCTATTTTTAAGATATATTCAACAGGAACCAGGATATCGTGACACCGACAAAAGAAGAAAAGTATTAACCAATCCTGCCATGGCTTTTTTGTTTTTATTATTTTATTTGGTATAGATAGATTTAGACCCATTCCCGCCATTAGGATTAATAGGGTTTTTATTAGGCTTAGATATTTTTAATGGTATTCTAGATTCTCAGGCAAAGAATTATGAAGGCAATGGGGAAATTAGGAAAAGACTGATACAAGGAAACAATGAAGAAAATAGGAAAAGACTGATACAAGAAAAATCTACAAATTGAATGTAAATATTTTTACAAGTTTTATTAGGCTTAGATATTGTTAATGTTATCTTAGCTTCTCAGGCACATAATTTTGAAGGCACTGGAGAAATTGAAAAAAGACGGAATCATAGACAAATCTGAAATTCCGGTAAGTATGTTACAAGTGTTTCATTAGTCAGGCTTACGCCTTCTAGTGTTTATTTTGATTTTAGTTGGATATAATATTCTTTAGATTATATTAATACTGATACAGTAATGCACGAAGTATTATGTTCATTGCTGATATTGAATATTTAATAATAAAGCTTTTTTAGTAATATGCTCTATCCATATTTTTCTATCTGTGTTTGTCATAATCATGATTTCACTTCTATTTTTAAGATATTTTCAACAGGAACCAGGATATCGTGACACCGACAAAAAAGAAAAGTATTAACAGGTTGCCATGGCTTTTTTGTTGTTATTATTTTATTTGGTATAGATAGATTTAGACCCATTCCCGCCATTAGGAATAATAGGGTTTTTATTAGGCTTAGATATTTTTAATGTTATTCTAGCTTCTCAGGCACAGAACTATGCAGGGACTGAGAAGATTAGGAAAAGACGGATGCAAGGAAAATCTACAAATTACATGTAAATATTTTACGAATTTTATTAGGCTTAGATATTGTTAATATTATCTTAGCTTCTCAGGCACAGAATTCTGAAAGCACTGGAGCAATTGAAAAAAAGACGGAATCAGAGACAAATCTGAAATTCCGGTGAGTATGTTACAAGTGTTTCATTAGTCAGGCTTACTCCCATCTAGTGTTCATTTTGATTTTAGTTCGATATAATATTTTTTTGATTATATTAATACTGATACAGTAATGCACGAAGTATTATATTCATTGCTGATATTGAATATTTAATATTAAAGCTTTTTTAGTAATAGGCTCTATCCATATTTGCCTATTTTATTTGTCCTAATCATTATTTTCTCTTTTATTTTTGAGGTATTTTCAACAGGAAACAGAATGTCGTGACACCGACCAAAGAAGAAAAGTATTAACAGGCTTACCATGGCTTTTTTGTTTTTATATTTGCTCTGTTAGAGATAGATTTAGACCCATTCCCACCGTTAGAAATACCCGCCATTAGGATTAATAGGGTTTTTATTAGGCTTAGATATTTTTAATGGTATTCTAGATTCTCAGGCAAAGAATTATGAAGGCAATGGGGAAATTAGGAAAAGACTGATACAAGGAAACAATGAAGAAAATAGGAAAAGACTGATACAAGAAAAATCTACAAATTGAATGTAAATATTTTTACAAGTTTTATTAGGCTTAGATATTGTTAATGTTATCTTAGCTTCTCAGGCACATAATTTTGAAGGCACTGGAGAAATTGAAAAAAGACGGAATCATAGACAAATCTGAAATTCCGGTAAGTATGTTACAAGTGTTTCATTAGTCAGGCTTACGCCTTCTAGTGTTTATTTTGATTTTAGTTGGATATAATATTCTTTAGATTATATTAATACTGATACAGTAATGCACGAAGTATTATGTTCATTGCTGATATTGAATATTTAATAATAAAGCTTTTTTAGTAATATGCTCTATCCATATTTTTCTGTGTTTGTCATAATCATGATTTCACTTCTATTTTTAAGATATTTTCAACAGGAACCAGGATATCGTGACACCGACAAAAAAGAAAAGTATTAACAGGTTGCCATGGCTTTTTGTTGTTATTATTTTATTTGGTATAGATAGATTTAGACCCATTCCCGCCATTAGGAATAATAGGGTTTTTATTAGGCTTAGATATTTTTAATGTTATTCTAGCTTCTCAGGCACAGAACTATGCAGGGACTGAGAAGATTAGGAAAAGACGGATGCAAGGAAAATCTACAAATTACATGTAAATATTTTACGAATTTTATTAGGCTTAGATATTGTTAATATTATCTTAGCTTCTCAGGCACAGAATTTTGAAGGCACTGGAGAAATTGAAAAAAGACGGAATCAGAGACAAATCTGAAATTCCGGTGAGTATGTTACAAGTGTTTCATTAGTCAGGCTTACTTCCATCTAGTGTTCATTTTGATTTTAGTTCGATATAATATTTTTTTGATTATATTAATACTGATACAGTAATGCACGAAGTATTATATTCATTGCTGATATTGAATATTTAATATTAAAGCTTTTTTAGTAATAGGCTCTATCCATATTTGCCTATTTTATTTGTCCTAATCATTATTTTCTCTTCTATTTTTGAGGTATTTTCAACAGGAAACAGAATGTCGTGACACCGACCAAAGAAGAAAAGTATTAACAGGCTTACCATGGCTTTTTTTGTTTTTATATTTGCTCTGTTAGAGATAGATTTAGACCCATTCCCACCGTTAGAAATACCCGCCATTAGGATTAATAGGGTTTTTATTAGGCTTAGGTATTTTTAATGGTATTCTAGATTCTCAGGCAAAGAATTATGAAGGCAATGGGGAAATTAGGAAAAGACTGATACAAGGAAACAATGAAGAAAATAGGAAAAGACTGATACAAGAAAAATCTACAAATTGAATGTAAATATTCTTACAAGTTTTATTAGGCTTAGATATTGTTAATGTTATCTCAGCTTCTCAGGCACAGAATTTTGAAGGCACTGGAGAAATTGAAAAAAGACGGAATCATAGACAAATCTGAAATTCCGGTAAGTATGTTACAAGTGTTTCATTAGTCAGGCTTACGCCTTCTAGTGTTTATTTTGATTTTAGTTGGATATAATATTCTTTAGATTATATTAATACTGATACAGTAATGCACGAAGTATTATGTTCATTGCTGATATTGAATATTTAATAATAAAGCTTTTTTAGTAATATGCTCTATCCATATTTTCTATCTGTGTTTGTCATAATCATTAATTTCTCTTCTATTTTTAAGATATTTTCAACAGGAACCAGGATATCGTGACACCGACAAAAAAGAAAAGTATTAACAGGTTGCCATGGCTTTTTGTTGTTATTATTTTATTTGGTATAGATAGATTTAGACCCATTCCCGCCATTAGGAATAATAGGGTTTTTATTAGGCTTAGATATTTTTAATGTTATTCTAGCTTCTCAGGCACAGAACTATGCAGGGACTGAGAAGATTAGGAAAAGACGGATGCAAGGAAAATCTACAAATTACATGTAAATATTTTACGAATTTTATTAGGCTTAGATATTGTTAATATTATCTTAGCTTCTCAGGCACAGAATTCTGAAAGCACTGGAGCAATTGAAAAAAAGACGGAATCAGAGACAAATCTGAAATTCCGGTGAGTATGTTACAAGTGTTTCATTAGTCAGGCTTACTCCCATCTAGTGTTCATTTTGATTTTAGTTCGATATAATATTTTTTTTGATTATATTAATACTGATACAGTAATGCACGAAGTATTATATTCATTGCTGATATTGAATATTTAATATTAAAGCTTTTTTAGTAATAGGCTCTATCCATATTTGCCTATTTTATTTGTCCTAATCATTATTTTCTCTTTTATTTTTGAGGTATTTTCAACAGGAAACAGAATGTCGTGACACCGACCAAAGAAGAAAAGTATTAACAGGCTTACCATGGCTTTTTTTGTTTTTATATTTGCTCTGTTAGAGATAGATTTAGACCCATTCCCACCGTTAGAAATACCCGCCATTAGGATTAATAGGGTTTTTATTAGGCTTAGGTATTTTTAATGGTATTCTAGATTCTCAGGCAAAGAATTATGAAGGCAATGGGGAAATTAGGAAAAGACTGATACAAGGAAACAATGAAGAAAATAGGAAAAGACTGATACAAGAAAAATCTACAAATTGAATGTAAATATTCTTACAAATTTTATTAGGCTTAGATATTGTTAATGTTATCTCAGCTTCTCAGGCACATAATTTTGAAGGCACTGGAGAAATTGAAAAAAGACGGAATCATAGACAAATCTGAAATTCCGGTAAGTATGTTACAAGTGTTTCATTAGTCAGGCTTACGCCTTCTAGTGTTTATTTTGATTTTAGTTGGATATAATATTCTTTAGATTATATTAATACTGATACAGTAATGCACGAAGTATTATGTTCATTGCTGATATTGAATATTTAATAATAAAGCTTTTTTAGTAATATGCTCTATCCATATTTTCTATCTGTGTTTGTCATAATTATGATTTCACTTCTATTTTTAAGATATTTTCAACAGGAACCAGGATATCGTGACACCGACAAAAAAGAAAAGTATTAACAGGTTGCCATGGCTTTTTTGTTGTTATTATTTTATTTGGTATAGATAGATTTAGACCCATTCCCGCCATTAGGAATAATAGGGTTTTTATTAGGCTTAGATATTTTTAATGTTATTCTAGCTTCTCAGGCACAGAACTATGCAGGGTCTGAGAAGATTAGGAAAAGACGGATGCAAGGAAAATCTACAAATTACATGTAAATATTTTACGAATTTTATTAGGCTTAGATATTGTTAATATTATCTTAGCTTCTCAGGCACAGAATTCTGAAAGCACTGGAGCAATTGAAAAAAAGACGGAATCAGAGACAAATCTGAAATTCCGGTGAGTATGTTACAAGTGTTTCATTAGTCAGGCTTACTCCCATCTAGTGTTCATTTTGATTTT